ATCCAGACCTAAGTTGTGCTAAGGTCACGCGGGTCTCTCGAGGCAGCTCGAACTCGTTGTCTGCAATGGGTAGCGGTTTTCCATCATCGGCATACAAGGTTAGGGCAACTCCTTCTGGTGGAGGAGGAAGTTTCGATACGTAAAAATTAAACAGGAGTAGGGAAGGACACCACCCAGTGGAACCCCCTGTTTAATTTTTCTGGGTATCGATGTTTCCCATCGGAATATTACCGATGATTGTCGACCAGTCAGGTAGCCCATGACCCACCTCTGCAACCTTGGCGGCAATGAGGATTCCTCAATATCCGTTAATAGCACTGAATGGTTGACGGAATGAAAAGCTTTTGACAGTTTTAGGACTACCAGGACAGTTCGCGCGCAGAGTCGGTTTTGGTTAAGGCCATTGACTATCTGAGTATTTATGGCGTTTAGTTATGTTGTGGTATTATGCACATTACGGAAGCCATGCTGATGTGCTGCTGGATACAGGCGGTGAGTGACGGTCGGGAACAGCAAGGCCTCAAGTGTCTTATCCACCGGGGAGAGGAGAGTTATCGGCCGATAAGACTCTCTTATGTTGGCTGGTTTCTCCGGCTTGAGTAGCGTGACCACCTTGCCCATGAGAAAGTTTGCTCCTGCTGGTAGAAAATGCTTTGGGATGAGCATGCTTATATTAATTCGTAGGGTCGTAGCTTGTAAACAAGCAGTACCAAAAAGTTGTATAGAGGAACGTCTTGGCTAAAATCTCATTGTTGACGGCCATGACTTTGAACTCATAGATGATTTTGTTTATCAGAAGGCTCGGGTTCCCGGTGCCACCAACATCGAAAAGTTATGGAAAATATATCTAAATGAAAAATTAAGCTAAATTTTTTAATTGCCGTCGCCCCGACAGGAAATGCCCACCCTGCGAGTGCATTTCGTACATGAAACAGAGGTCCTCATAAAAAACCATCAGTTGTTCGGAGGCGGGTTAGTACAAACTGTAGGTCCCAAAACCACAAATTGGAGAATGAACTGTGTTGAAAAATCGCTTCAGCGGTTACAAAGCGCCAATTCCTTTCCTGCGAATTACATGAGTTAGATGTTTTACTCTCCCTCACTTGGAAGAGACACATAAAGGCAAAAATACTACACATGAAATTAAAAGCAGCTAGTTTAAATTGGGTTTTAAATAAAAGCTCCGGTCTAAAACTAGACTACAAAGTCCTTATTTACAACGCAGTATTAAAACCAATTAGGGTGTATGGTACTCAATTGAGGGGTTCGACCTGTGCAACTAATATTGATAAAATACAGAGGTTACTGTCCAAAATTTTAAGAGTGAGAAGCAGTGCGAAGAACTTCACAAAGCTAAGAAATCATCCAAATCCGCTAGCTAATGCTTTATGCAACCCATCGAGAAATTCCCGCCTGCAGCGAAAAGATGTTCCCGCCTTCTAAGGAGATCGCCGTAGTTTGAAAAGGGCTCAGAGTTAAATAACTCGAGCTATCATGTTTGCAATTTAGTTTTTAAGATTTGTACACTTACTGTTAGGCTTATATTATAGCAGATCCAGTAAATAAATGAATTCTGTATAACAAAAAAAAAATGTGAGGAGAAGGATGGGGAGTTTCAGGGTCGCGGCAATATCATCAGTCTTATTACTTAATTGTCATACCTCGTATATATATTATTAGATTCAGTTTATTTCAAATATTATACATATTGTACATACCTTTGCATGTACATCTTATTATCTCATATATGTTACAATCTTTTCAGTGTTGGATACCGAGACAACCAATCAGCGACAAACGTCCGAACAAGAACATTCTGATGACTTTGATCCTTATACTTGCACTCTTTCTCCTGGAATGAAAATTGTGGCTAAGGAGGAGCTGCACGAGGATGATAACATACGTCGACAAGCGCTAAAACAATTTCGTGAATGGATATCGAAGCATCCGAGTATAAAGAAATGCCGCACAGATTCACTTTTTCTTCTGCGATTTTTACGTACGAAAAAGTTTTCGGTACCTGATGCCTGTGAAATGCTCGAACGTTACTTGACTATACGGCAATTATTCCCTCAATGGTTTTCGAAACTGGATGTTACAGACCCTACTATTAGCGAAATTTTTGACAACGGTTACTTAGTTCCACTTCCAGAGAGGGATGATAATGGAAGACAAATAATTCTATCTATCGCAAAAAATTTTGACCCATACAAATATACCTCAGTTCAAATGGCGCGCGTACACTCATTGATCTGCGAAGGATTGCTAGATGACGAGCAATCACAAGTGGCTGGTTATGTATACATAAATGATGAGAGTGGAATAAACATGGGGTTTGCCAGTCTAAAGGTTAACTGTACAAAATACACAAACCTCTGCCTGTTCAATTTTATATGAAACTTTAGTCATATCTGACTAACAGACAATTTAATTTACCATTAAACAATTTGAATTTATCAGTGAGGAGTATCCGGTAAAAACTGGTCTTCCGCAGGGTAGCGTCCTCGGGACTATTTTATATATCATATACGAGGTGTGTTCAAAAAATATTGCGAATTTTGAGTTTTCGTGGGTTACGTATAATCGAATTTCGATTTTTTTGTGGCCTTATGTTAGTACTAATGTCTGTCACTTATACCGACAAGCTCGGCC